AAATTGGACTGAAAAAATCATTCGTCCGTCAACACAGACAGGGGTGCCAAAATTGGACTTATAGGCCATTTTCGGGTCCAGGGCGGCAGGTGCCGCCTGGCTCGGCGGTAGCTGCCGCCTGGGAGGGCGGCAGGTGCCGCCTAGTCGGTGGGGGGGCAGGTGCCGCCCATGCTGGGCGGTAGGGGCCGCCCAGTCGGAGGCGTGCTCAATAGCACGCCCGTGCTACTTGTGCAATAATCATCACTCAAAGGTGGTGGTGGCCACCATGTCTCGCTCCGGGAGCTTTTTTGGGAGTTGCCGACCTCCAAAAATCATTTCGGGACCGGTTTTGCGATCCTCGTGAAATTCTAGACGTTTCAAGTACCATATTGACATATTTCCAGTAAATGTCCAAAATGGCCTCCGGTCTGGCCGAACTGTTTGCACAGTTGCTGCAGCAAAGTCAAATTTACTGTAGCAAAGTCAAACTAATTGGCATTGTGACATCCTACCGAGTCGAATCTTTGCATAGTCGAGTCTTTGCATAGAGTCGAGTTGAGTCGAGTTGAACCAAACCCGGTTGGGGTAGAATTGAGAGCCAGTGGTTGTCTGATGGAGCAAATTTTGAAGGCGAAAACTCGGACCTTGGGCCAAATTGGGATTGTGGGGCCTTGGTCTGAGTTGTGAATTTTCGTACCCTAGGCCGAGTTTTGAATTTCGGACCCTAGGCCGAATTGTGAATTTTCGGGCCTCTGGGGCCTGAATTGTGATTTTTCGGGCCTCTGGTGCCTGATTGTGATTTTTCGGGCCACTTTGGCCTGATTGTTATTTTTCGGGCCATTTTGGCCTGAATGTGATTTTTCTGGCCACTTTGGCCTGAATATTTTTCGGGCCACTTTGGCCTGAATGTGATTCTTCGGGCCACTTTGGCCCGAATGTGATTCTTCGGGCCTCTATGGCCTGAATGTGAAATTTCGAGCCTCTGGGGCCTAAATTGTGATTTTTCGGGCCTCTGGGGCCTGATTGTGATTTTTCGGGCCGCTGGGGCCTGAATTTTGAATTTCGGGCCTTAGGCCGAATTGTGAGTTTTCGGCCTCTGCGGCCGAATGTCATTTTTTCGGGCCTCTGTGGCTTGAAAGTGATTTTTGTGGGGGCCGTTGCCGCCATTATTCGGCGACTGCTGCCGCCGTTATTTGGTGGCAATTTGGCGACCGCTGTCGCCTTCGTTCGATTGTGATTTTTCCGGGCACCTCTGCGGGCCTGATTGTCGATTTTTTTCGGGCCACTTGCGGCCTGAATGTGATTTTTCGGGCTCTTGGCCTGAATCGTGATTTCTCGGGCCCTCTGGGGCCCTGAATGTGATTTTTCGGGCCTCTGTGGCCTGATTGTGATTTTTTCGAAGCCTCTGTGGCCTGAAATGTGAAGGAGCAAATTTTGAACGCGAAACTCGGACCTTGGGCCAAATTGGGATTATGGGGCCTTGGGCTGAGTTGTGAATTTTCAGACCCTAGGCCGAGTTTTGAATTTCGGGCCTTAGGCCGAATTGTGAGTTTTCAGGCCTCTGCGGCCGAACGTGATTTTTCGGGCCTCTGCGGCCCGAATGTGATTTTTCGGGCCTCTGCGACCTGAATGTGATTTTTTTGGGCCTCTGTGGCCTGAATGTGATTTTTCGGGCCTCTGGGGCCTGAATTGTGATTTTTCGGGCCTCTGGGGCCTGATTGTTTTCGTGGCAATTCGGAGCTACTGCCCGCCAATCATTTCGGCGGCTGCTGCCATCCCCTTGATTCGGATGCATTTCTCTCCTCCTATAAAAGCTTGTTCTTTGTTTCGGTTCTCAACCTCATTCCTTACTTCTCTCTTCTCTTTTCTCTCTGTGTTTTATCTTTTCCAAAGAATGAATGCTTCTTTCAATCATAGCAATGCACAGCTGGGCCTAGGAGTCCTCTCCCAAAGTTGAAAAAAATCAAACTTGAAGAGGTATGGCCTCTCTCCTATCATTACCCTTAGGGGGGTAGTGATCGACTGGAACTTTTTATGGGCCTGTATCAGACTCTGGGAACCTGAGGCCCACGTTTTCTGGTTCGGAGCTATGATGGAAGAGATGTGCCCTCTTTTCGAGGAGTTTTGTGCTATCATAGGGTGTGACCCTAATGCCCTTTAGTCAGGCATGAGGTTAAAGTTGGGTATGTTCGGTCATTTGAAAATTTATTTCAATTCAGCCGGCCACAAGCTAAGACCATGATTGTTGACGACCAGAAGGCGATTCGAAGGGCAATTCGGCTGCCCCTGATTGAATGAATTTTCAGAGGTTCTTTCAAATGACCAGACCGATGAGGCTTAGGTATGCGGGCTTTTGTATTTTGCTTCAATTATTGGGTTTCTTGTTTAACAAGGACCTCAGGCTTCGGGATCTGCGATTTTGCCCTATGATTCGACAGATGGAGAATGAGTTGCATTGGCGGCATTGTCTGTCAGAGACTATCCGGAGCCTTGACAGAGCTGCTTCTAGGCTTCGAGGACTGGACGGTTTTCTTCCGATATTCTCCAGGTATTTCCCCTTTTCTTCTTCCTTTTTTCTTCTTTCTTTCGGTTCATTCCTTTGTAATAGAAAGGATCCATTTCTCAGGTTTGGTTACAGGACCACCTCCAAGTGGTTGCTGCTCCCACTTTTCTGCCTTACAACCCCTCTCAGTATCGTATGCGGAGGATTCTGATCACTCATCCATCTACTGATGCATGGACCTCCTGGCTGATTGAGTTGGGTCCGAATGAGGCACTGTGGTACATTTCCTGGTATGACATCACCCTCTTTATCCAGGTTAGCTTCCGCCATACTCGGGTTTACCTTTTAGGCCTTACACACTGTACTTGGTAGATGGGGATAGACCAGACTATTCCGATTGTGGATGATATTTCAGCTGATTCAGCCATCACTCCGGGTGTTACCCGAGCTGATTCCAGTCCCATCACTACTCCGGAGTTAACCCGAGCCTTAGGGCTTGGGTTAGAGACCATCACATGGTTAGGCCTTTACCTAATCCTGTCGGTGTTCAGACTTCTCCTGAGTATCGGGCTTGGTTCATTGCCATTGTCTGGCCAGTTGATAGGCCAAGGAGGAACGCTGAGTGTACTTGAAGGTTGGACTCAGGCCGACGCTGGTAATGAGGCTGGGACTGATGAGGAGATTCTGTTGGCTCCCCAGACAGGAAATGTTGGAGAGAGTTTGGGAGCTAAAGATGACTCGGAAGACGTTGCCCCACGGAGGCGACGAGGCACTTAGACTTTTATGGTCTTTTTGGGTTTTTTTTTTTTGTTTTGTGGTTTTTTTTTCTGTTTTTGACTCTTTTCGGTATTTTGGCTTTGGACTTTGGATGTATGTTTTATTTGGACTTGGACTCTACTTTCTTTAGTTTTCTGCTTTGGACTCCTACTTTCTTTAGTTTTCTGCTTGATTTTAGACTTTTTGGCCTTTGTTGGCTTTCCAATTGGCATTTCATTTGACTTTAACTTTCCAAGCATTTTCCACTTTATTTATTTCAAGCTCTGATTTTTGCCATAAGCCGCCCTTCGGGTTTTCCAACTTAGGCGAGCTACCACACTTTTTGCCTAAGCCGCCTTTTCGGGTTTATCAACTTAGCGGGCCCCCGATTTTTGCCTAAGCCGCCCTTTCGGTTTTTCGACCGCCCTTTTCGGGTTTTCAGCTTAGCGGGCCCCGACTTTTGCCTAAGCCGCCTTTTCGGGTTTTCTTTTTTTTTTTTTTTTTGCACTTTTTCTCTTTTCTTTCCTTTTTTCTTTGGCAAAGAAGAATGAATTATGAAATGATTTTTTCATTAATGTTTAGACTGTGCCCAATGAGGGTTGCCTACATATCTCCGATACATAATTTATTTTTTCCGAGGAGAATCAGGTCTAATGTAGCTCTTTGTTACATCATGCAATGATTATAAATTACACATAATATCTTTTTAATTGATCTAAACTACATGGATTCGTGAACTCCAAACATCTAAATCAGTCAAAATAACGGCTCCGCCGGACAGTATTTTCTTTAGAATGTAGGGCCCAGCCCAAGCCCATGAGGACGGAACTCCCACGTGGTCTATGATTGGCTGTCTCTAATCTCTTTCAGGACCAAACAACCTTCTTCCAGTTTCCGGTCTTTGACTTTCTTATTAAAATGCCGTGCCATTCTTCTCTGGTAGACTTGAGTATGGTGGATTGCTTGCAGTCGCTTTTCGTCCATACTCAAGAGCTGGCTTTTCATCCATACCCAAGAGCTGCAAATGATAATTCTCAGCCCAATTTGCTTCACTGATCTGGCTTTCCCGGATAACCCTCGCCGACTGAACTTCTAACTCAATAGGCAATACTGCTTCCATGCCATATACTAAGGAATACGGGGTTGCCCCAGTAGGTGTTCTAATTGAAGTCCGATATCCCCATAAGGCATTCGGTAACTGTTCATGCCAAGCTTTGTGCTTTTTAATTGTCTTTTGCAAAATAACTTTTATGGGCTTATTTGCAACTTCTACAGCCCCGGTTTGCGGACGATAGGGCGAGGACTTATGATGTTGGATTCTCGTCTCTTTCAACAAATTAGCAAATTCACCCTGGAAGTGAGCTCCATTATCGTGGTGATTCAAATGGCGTTCCGTACCTGCAAAGGGAGTGGTACGAACGAACTGTGGCTCTTCTCTGGCATTCAAGAATCGAATAAGAAGCTGCTTGATCCACTTAGTGAAATAATCTAAGCAAAGCAAAATGAACTGGCTGACCGTTGGAAGCCTTCGGGTCGGAGGATTTTTCCGATCACGTCTATGCCCCAGGTCGCGAAAGGCCATGGTGAAGTGATAGGATTTAGATTGACCGGAGGCTGTTTTTGCAATTTAGCAAAAAATTGACATTCGTGGCACTTCTGCGCATGCCTCACACAATCTGCCTTCATGGTTGACCAGTAATAACCAAGGTTCGTGATTTTTCGAGCCAAGGCTATCCCATGCATGTGTGGGCCAGACTCCCTGTTATGTAAGGAATCCATGATGGTTTGAGGTTTGAGCTTCTCCCTCATCAACGCATCTTAGGTGCAGGCCGCTCCAACTTCTCTTATACAGAACTCCCTCAGTGAGGAAATATCCGGATGCTAACTGTCTCAATGTCCGTTGATCAGTTTTGTTAGATCCCTCCGGGTAGGCTTCATTCTGAAGATAATTCTGTATATCCCAATACCAGGGCTTGTCATCGACCAAATTTATGATATGTGCTGGCTGCTTCTGCAGCCGCACTGTCAAAGGTCGAATGACTCGATCTCCTTCTATATTGACCATAGAGGCTAGAGTAGCTAGAGCATCTGCAAACTGATTTTTGGATCGTGGCAAGTAATGGAAGGATAAATCCTCAAATTGCTGAGCCAATTCCAAATTGCTGAGCAATTTCATCCAAGCGTTGTAGGTAAGGGAACCAAAGCCTCTTTAAATTTCCATTTCCTTAAACTTGGTGAGACTATTAAGTTGGAATCCTCCGAAAACCTTAAAGCGAAAACCTTGAGGACCTTTATTTCTTTTTCCAGGGCTGCTTCTAACCCCTTTATGCAAGCTTCATACTCGGCTTCGTTGTTAGTACAGTCGAAATCTAATTTGACTGCGATTGGGACGTACTCTCCACAAGGAGTTTTGAATACGACTCCAACCCCATTTCCATGGTAGTTCGAGGCTCCATCGAAGTACATTTCCCAGACTTCACTTTCTACGTTCACTAAGTCTTCATCAGGAAATTCTACCTCCGGCATTTGGTCTTCGACCGGTAATTCTGCTAGTTGATCAGCCAAGGCTCCGCCTTTCACTGCCAATTTTAAATCATAGGCTGCGAGCAACGACACCCACTTAGCCATCTTATTGTCAAAAACCAGCCCATGCCGGTGACACTTGCCGCCCCTGCCGGCGGACTTGCTATTTTTTGTTCCGGGGGCTTTTCTGGGAGTTCCCGACCTCCAAAAAATATTCCGGGACCAGTTCTGTGATCTTCGTAATTTTTCGGACGTTTCAAGTACCATATTGGCATACTTTCGATGAACTTTCCGAATGGCTTCCGGTCCGGCCGGACTGTTACCCTTGTATCTCTGCTTGTTGAGCTAGCATTGCACCCCATCGCTCTTCTGTCACTGATAGGGTAACAACAGCAAAGGCTTCCTAGCCCTTGGTGGCTGTAAGACTAGTGGCAATAACAGATATTGGCTTGACTTTGGTCGAAAGCTTCTGACAATCCTCATTCCATTTTAACGGCTAACTTCCTTCCTGAGCAATTTCGAAGAACTCGACCACAAAGTATTACCCAAATTTGATGATCGAACGGCTGATGTACTGTAGCCTTCCTAGGAAACCCCCGACTTCCTTTTCCGTCCTCGTGCTGGTTTTCCATAACGGGCTTTTGGCTTTTGAAGGTCAATTTCCTAATCCCCTTCCGACTGACCTATATGCCCCAGAATACTCCGGATGTAGCTCCACAACAGACATTTTGGCCGGGTAGAGTTTTTAATTGTACTTTCCGAAGTTAAAGGGAAAAAAGAATTCTCAAGCGCTGTTGTATGTTTCTTCAGCTGTTTTTTTTTTTGATTTAAACAACCATAATCGTCCACGTCATTCTACTTCTTTCGTGAATCATGTTCATGGAAGATGGTCGTCGCATTCTTTGATAGGTTGCCCCGGCATTTTTGAGCCAAAAAGGCATGACCCTGTGCAGTAGGTTCCCCACTGACTGTGATGAATGCCGTTTTCCTCTGTTGCTGGCACATGCTCATTATTGGTTGTACCCGACAGCAAGATCGGTCAAGGAGACCATTCGTGTCCCACCATTCGGTCTACAACAAGTCGATATGCGGCATGGGGGGAAGTCGTCCTTTGACATGCCATTCAAAATCCGATAGTCCACACACATTCTGACTTTTGCCCATCTTTCTTGCGGCACTGGCACAATACTTTTGCTAACCATGGTCGGGTAGGCATGGGTTCTATGAAATCGGTTCTCCCAGTTCTTGGCTACCTCCTCCTTGATTTTCAAGGACCATTTCGGTCTTCAGCTATATATAGATAATCACTGCTTAGGCCTCGGATATACTTCGGCGAATCTTGTGCACACTATTAAGAGACTGGGTCCAATCCGTGATGTTCCATATTATATGAACAATTGGCAATACTCAGCATTTCACTAAATGTCGCCTTGTTTCACACAGGTCAAATGCAATGTATGTTATGTTATTTTCTTAATAATATAGATATTATTTTAATATTTTTCATTTTTTATTTCAATTTATATGATTATTTTTGCTGGAAATGCTTGGAAAGATAGATACACGCGGGGGTAGTCCAAAATAATTTGCAAGCCTTTATTGTCAATGACAGAATTGGGTCTTCAAAAGATTACATCAAATTTGAAATGCTGATTTTCAAAATCCGACATCAGATGACTCAAGACGTGGAACTGGACTCTGACTCGTTTCAGACTCTGGGGTAGACTCAGACTCAATACAAGACTTGAATTACAAGATGTTTGACTCCTAGGGTTTGACTCGGGAGGGGGTTTTATAGCAGTGCGCTCCTCTTGACGTACCAATATGGTGAGAGGGGCCTTCGTTTCGGCTTGCATCAGGCACATAAAGCAAGATCTTGGTCCCCAATCATTTCCTGTGATAACTTGCAATTTCGTCAGGAAACTAGGTTCGCATGAATCCTTCCACTTCGAGTTCGTTGTTACCCTCTTCGGATAAGTCATTCAAGTCCAGGACACAGGTATCATTTATTTCTAGGAATAGCTCGAAAGGATCGATCAATTCCTGGTCAGAAATAATAGCATTTACCTTGTGATTTGGTAAGGGATTAGTGTTAATGTTTGACTCACTTCTTGGGATGATTGAACCATCGTCTACCAGGTCTTGGATGCGGTTCTTAAGCGTCCAGAACGCTTCAGTCTCGTGCCCATGACCTTGATGATATTCACAGTATTCATTGGTTCGATAGTTTCTTGGTAAGGGGTAGGGTGGCGGCCTTGCTTCCAAGGGCTTGATGTAGTTGGCCTTGACAGCCTCTCGGAAAACCAAAAGGATTGGCATCCCTTGGCATCGCCGAGATCAGTATATGTCTTCTTTGACCGATGCATTTCTCATATTGCCCCACACGTAAAAGGATCGTGGGGTGATGCTTGCCATTTCCATGGACTTTTGCCAGCTTGGCTAGGCCTTCTCGTATTTTGAGGAACCCGAGCTCTTCTTTCAGTTCCCATTTGAATTAAATCCTCTACCTTTGTAGCAAGCGGCAATGAGCGCTGAAAGGTTGGTAAGGTATTGGGTTTGTAACTGTTGTTGGTAGACAGGCGCAGGTTCTTTATGATTATTCTACCTGTTTCTTGTCAGAAGGCCCGGTTGATCATTTGAGCGATCCTTGGTCTTTTCCTTGTAAGGAACGAGGGAAAAGGTTCATTGTTTTTCTGTTTGGTGGTGTCCCAGTTTTTTTTCTCATTTCCTGAGCTTCCTGCTGCAGAAGCAGGCATGTCAATCAAAGGTAGGACTTGGTCGGGTTCTGCCGGCAGGTCCTTGAATTGGAAGCAGCAGGTCCCACTTCCCTCACCGGAGAGCCCACTTCCATTACCATTACCAATTCAAGCTATCAGGGCAATCCTTTGGGCAGCCAATGCCTTCATATCATTCTGGCCTCATTCTGGCCTCCATTCTGGCCTCCATTTTGGGCTCGAGTTGTTCTATAAGGTTTTTGATGTCAGAAAGTGATGCCATTGGTGCAGTTGAGATTGGTGAGGTCGGCGATAGCACAGTAGGTGTGGTTGGCACTAATGTTGGCACTTGAACAGGGGGTACCTGTAAGTATGAGGGTAACTGGATTAAAGGGTATAGTAGTATCAGGGTAGCTGATATGAGAGGGAATGACTCTTTGTCCAACTGTGCATGACCAAAGGAAATATATATTTTTTTGTGTTCTCCATGTGTTTACCCAATGTTTATGATATGTCCTCTTTTTTTTTTTTTAATGCTTTGGTATGTCGTAGAATCGCAAATAACACGTCCATAATTTATTTATGAGATGATTCGTACATTGTTGCATATAGTCCTAAAGGATAGGTTCTATAGGCTATGACACAAATAGAGATCGGCTTATTAAGGACCCTTGAACCTTGAGTATGGATAAAACCTAAACCACATGTGAAACAAGGAGTTTTTCGCTGGTCCAACGGTACGTAATACCCATGTGCCATTTCCAAAGGATTGAGATGGCTTTGCCGGTAAACAGGGGAGGACGCTTTGGCTGTCCGTCGGCATAATCAAAGAGACCTGCCGATCAGCGCTACTTGCTTCCAGACTCAGAAATTTGAACAGAAAGAGAAAAATTCATTTGAAGTTCATTTTTTTTTATGGCAATGGGAAGAAAAGGATTCTCAATCGTGCAAATAAATCAACAAGTTTTAATGTCTAAATCACATTTTTACAATTAAGTCCCGGGATTTATCAGTATTCTTAAAGGAAAGAACACTTGATTCGTATTAGGGTACCTGCAAAACAAAGCAAATAATGATGCCTTAAG